GGCCAGCACTGGAAATAGAGACCTGGCTCTAACGGGTTAAGGTCACATAGTCCAGGAAGGAAAAGGCGGCAACTTGCTTCCTTCACGGACCCAGCTCCAGAGCATATAAATGCTGATCCAGTTCCCTTCTGCACACTACTGCCAGGCAGTGGAGATAAGTGTGCACCAGGGGGCGTGTCAGGCTTACACAGGGCCAGGCGGGAAGGGCGTGGAAGGCGCTGGTGGGTATTAAGGGGCGTGGAGCAGACGGGGGACTGTGGGAGACATGCAATGGAGCTGGGGAAGAGCATGGCTTCAGGAACTGCACCAGGAGCGTGGCACGTGGGCCCAGGGGCAGGGCGGGCATGAGGCAAACTTGGCAAGGGTGAGCTTGTGATGAGAGGCCAGGAGCTGTGGGGGCAAGGGGAAGGACTTTCCTGTAAAGGCAGAGGAAGGGGAGCAGTGCAAGAAGGGGCTGACAGACAAGCAAAGGTGCAATACCCATGCAGGGGAACGACACCGCAAGCCCCATACCACAGACACGGCTGCAACACATGAGACCTGGCATGCGGGCAAACGGGGCAGATGTGCAACAGAGGGGGTGGGGGCTGACTCCTATGCTAGGTCCAGGACCAGAATGCACCAGGAAAGGGGAGGGACACGAGTGCCAAGCACAGGCCCCGGGTGCAAAGACAGGAGGTGTGGCACACGAGTCAAGCGGGCGGGTTGGAGACGCCCGAGGAGATGAGGCGTGGCATGCAGGCAAAGTGTGGCCTCTCCCAGGGGGTGTGGCACGCATGCAAAGACGCAGCATGCAATGGAGGGAAGGGGGTGTGGCGGGCATGCAGCACGCAGCTTGCGTGGGGAGGGGAGACACACGTGGGGAGGTGTGCACAGTGCACTGCATGCTGTGAGAAGCACTGACACACATGGGGAGATATGTGCAGTTCCCTGCATGCAACAGGGAGCACTGACATGCATGGGGAGGCATGTGCAATGTGCTGCATGCAGTGAGGAGCACTGACACACGTGGGGAAGCGTGTGCAATGCACTGCATGAGGCAGGGAGCACTGACACGCGTGGGGAGGCATGTGCAATGTGCTTTGTGCAGCGGGAAGCACTGACACGCGTGGGGAGGCGTGTGCAGTGCACTGCATGCAGCGGGGGAGCAACGACATGCATGCACAGCCATGTGCAGGGGGGGGAACAGCCGCTCGCGTGCACGGCGCGTGCAATCCACTGCATGCAGGAGGGTGCACTGACACGCGTGTGCAATGCGCAGCATGCAGCCGGGCGCACTGACACGCGTGTGCACAGCGGGAGCAGCGACGCGCGGGCATGCCCCAGCCCCGCGAATGCAGCGGGGGAGCAACGACATGCATGCACAGCCATGTGCAGGGGGGGGAACAGCCGCTCGCGTGCACGGCGCGTGCAATCCACTGCATGCAGGAGGGTGCACTGACACGCGTGTGCAATGCGCAGCATGCAGCCGGGCGCACTGACACGCGTGTGCACAGCGGGAGCAGCGACGCGCGGGCATGCCCCAGCCCCGCGAAGGGGAAAGGGGAGGGGGGTGTGGCAGGCGCGCACACCGGCGGCAGGGCACGGGCAGCCGGGTCCCGGCGGGCAGCGGGCCGGGACCGGGTCCCGGGGGGGGGCAGAGGGCTGGGAGCTGCCCCCGAGGGCACG